CCCCAAAACCCCAAAACCCCTGAATCATAATCTTAGTGAAAATTTGTGAATTATTAAATTAATTAAGAAGTCAGAATATCTTTTCCATGCAAGAGCTTATCATTATGAAATAGTATCTGCCTTGGACAATGCTAAATGAAGCAACCTAAACACATGTGGAATTATGATAGAATACTTACATCTTTAAGAACGATTATGGAGCCTTTTCTCATCTTCTCAACTTTAATCGTATCTTTGCAATCTGAATGAAAAGTACCATAAATTTCATCGCCTTTCAAGTCCTATCAAATAAATTATAATGATGTTAGGCTATTACCTTGAATTTAGTATGGTAGGCTGATTGAATGATCTCAATATTGGCAATCTCCAGCACAATTCTCTCAATCCTTGAAGAAGCAAACAAGCCTTAATTGACCTTAGCTATAGTGTAAGTATTAAATGGGTAGTATGTTTCAATCTCATCCTTCTTGTTTGGGTACAAGTTTTCATTGATATTCAAATACTTTAAAGCTTTCTTCCACTTCTCATTCAGCTATCTCTCATAGTTTCTGAGCATCTTGTTTATGTTGGAAATGTTTTCATTTTAAGACTACCCATCTTTATTCTAAGCACTTGCACCTATTTAGCTTTCCTTTGTGACTGTCCCAGGCACACTCTTAAAAGGGGAAGGCTTATTACTATTAATGAAGCATGAGAGTTCACTTTTATTAGGCGAGTCTATGGTATTTTTAGAAGGAGCCATTGGTGTTCCAGGAATTATCCTCTTGGTCTATGAAGGAGTGCTGCAGAGTCTATTTTGAGCCACCATATCAGATACAGTTAAAGGTTTATGACCACCGAGCGGCATGGTCTCTTTGATCTAGGGAATTTGAGAGTTTCTGAGTCCGTTTGGATTGGTATAGTCTTCAAGGGGATCTAGCTATCTAAACTTGGAATTCTGGATTGAGCTGTGTCACTCACTTCTTACATCCTCATCCAGCCTGATGTTTATTTCTTCAGAGTCATTCAAAAGGTTATTATTGCCTTAATTCTACTTTAATGATGTAGATGGCTTGATTTGCTGCTGACTATTTATTGCTCCAAAGGCAAACTTGTTCAGCAATTTGTTTGTTTGTGAAGATAGTGTTGGTCCATTACAGTTCTTATTAAAGTTGCTTTACTAAGACAGAAAGTTCTCTTCCATCTTTACATCATCATTTCTTTTTGAATTGTCCATACTCAAGCAATAATTAATATTTCATTAAACTCAAATTTAAACTTAAGTTCAAACATAGTGTAACTCAGCTTTTTATCTTTAGTTTCTTTATTCATGATACCAATTTTTAATTGTACTACTGGGGTTTTGGGGTTTTGGGGTTTTGGGG